CGGCCGGCTGCGCAGGAGAAGCTCCTCCTGCGGGAACCTCAGCCCAGCACCGTGGCCTGGTTTCCGGGGGTCGGCTCTGCCTGCCCAGGGCCCCGGGGGGACGTGCCCTCTCCACGGCTCACACCGCCCTACGCGGAGCCCGGTGTAATGGCAGCTACGAGGCCCTGCGTTTGCCCGGGACGGAGCACCAGCTCACACACCGGCGGCTGGCAGAAGGTGCACAACTAGGAGAGCAGGGGTTGGTGCCAGCAGGAGCATTGGCGCAGCCCCACAGTGTTACCGGAGCAAAGAGCCAGGTCCTTTCTGTGCGCCCCAAACCTCAGTGGATGCATTTGCCGTACCGGGGGCTTCTCTGAACACACGTCCCCTCCTGGCCTCAGAGGTCCGTGGGATGCCAGGCTGGGGAGCACGGTGGGCATCCCGGAGCTGTGCGGTGGAGCTGGCAGCACCCCAGGCTCCTCGCCCCAGAGGCAGCGTGTGTCCCCCCACACCAGAGAGCGCCCAGGACTGCTTGTTTTGCTTAAAGGTGTTGTTTATTGGAAGGATCAACCCCAAAATCTGCCCCGTCCCTCCCCCTGAAGGCTGATTTCTGTCCTTGGCAACAAGGGAGGGAGGAAGACATTGGGTGCCCGGCTCCCGGCAAGGGGCGCAGCATCCAAGGCTGTGAGAGAGCGGCTGTGGGAGCAAACCCAGGAGGGGCTGGGATCTGTGGGAGGTGGGACAGGACCGAGCCCAGTGGCCCTGAATACAGACCAGCTTGGCCTTGCAGGCTGGCGCAGACGAGATGGCGGCACAGAGCGGGGCCTCGACGGCCTGTCCTGGCTTGGGGGCCGACCCGCAGCCGTCTTGCAACAGGACGCCGCGTATGAGCCGCCCTGGCAGCCTGGGTTAAGCCCCCCAGGGATGTGCCCTGGGGACTGCTACACATGCAGCATTTGCCCCTGGCCCCCGGCTTTGCCCAGGAGGCCACGCTCCCACCTCCCGTCTGCGTGTGCCAACGTGGCCGTCCATCCGTGGGACGCCTGCCCGAGGGCCTTCGCGATGCCCGTCTCTGCCTGGGAGATGCAGATGGAGCCCGGGGCTGCGGTGCTCTGGGGAGGATCTGGAAAGCTACGGGACGCAGCAAGCAGCAGGCTTGCAGCTTCATAAGGACCCCCCCGCGGTGGGCTCCCCTGGGTGCTGATGCTGCAGTCTCAGGCAGTAGCGAGTCCAGTGGCTCCCCGGCTCTCGCCTGCCGCCCACCGACCATCCAAGTTCTGCCCTGCGGTGCTGCCTTCTGCATCCACCTCTGCTGCCCCGGGCAGCTCAGACACCTGCCGCCAGCTCTTCTGGGGACATCAGGGAAAGGGAAGCAACTGGCAGTGGCCCGGGATCCCTGTACAGCTTGTCGCAGAGGTGTGCTGAGCGGGGTGGAGGAGAATGCAGCTCCCCAGCTTGGCGCACAGGCCTGGGCAGGCCGTACGTGGGCCGGAGCCGACAGCGTGTGCTCAGTCGCTGCACGACGGGGCACAAGCGAGGTAAAGACAGGTGCAGCGTTCCCGGAGAGTCCTGCTTCTCCAGCTGACCAATTCAAGGACCACACTTTCCGAATAGCCTCAGTGATTTAGGAGCTGGAGTCCAATTTCCAAGAGCTCCATGACCTCTCCGCGGGCCTGCAATGATGCTGAACCACCTGCAGAATGAGGAGTCTTCCTAAAACCCCAGCCTAAATCTCTGTGCTGTGATTTAATGCTGTTCCTCCTCACCCTGTCTCCAGCAGCTGCAAAGACCAATCTCCCCCCATCCTCTTTCCAACCATCCTTTGTGCATTCAAAGATGGCTCTCAAATCCCTGCTCCGTCCCATCTTCAAAAGGCATTTGGGCATCTAACGTGGCCTTTGGACAATGGACTTTTGCTCTTCAATGCCCAGCCGCTTCTGGCCAAGCCCTCGATACCACCGCATTCACCAAGTCCCCGACTGAGGCCACCCCAGGCCACACCAGATCAGCAACGGTTAACACCGGTGCCTGCCCGGGGACGTGTTAGGACCTATTATTTGGAGTTGTTCCTCATAATTGCTGCCACACACAGCGAGGACATCAAGAGCGAGTCTCTGCTTTGATAGTTCATGCTGGGAAATCTCGCTTGGCTTTTATCTCACCCCAAACACCTGCAGGTTGTAAAAGGCGTGGAGGGAAAGA